AAACTCCCATTCCTCCCCACTCTCCCCTACAGCTGTTGCTGTGCGGTCTGTGAGGTTGAGGCTACAGCTTAAAAGTTTCATGCAGGGTCGCATAAGATCACAATGTAGACGAAAATAAAAGCATGACGAGTAGATCACCTCATATTATGATTTTGAAATTGGCGTGATCTAACAAATAAGTTGGTAGGAGTATTTTCGTACAATTTTTAGTGCGTGGATCATACAGGAACTCTTATCAAAGACGATACTTTTTTCTCGCGCTATGATTCCTCTGATGCCATGAGTGATTTATCGTAATGAAGAACCGTTCTAGTTCTTTAGAGACATCTTTACATTAGAATATATGTATGAGCGGTTTTGTAGCATCAATAATTGCTGATGGTAAATTTAGTAAGTGACAGTTTGTGATCTGAATATCCAAGGAAGGTCTAGAACCACTGAACAATAGGAAAAATGACATATTTGGGTTTATGAGTAAATGAGAAACTCAACGGCGTGCCTTAAGGAAACGGGGCTCTTAGTTGAAAAACGTCTTTGAGAATGATTCAACGACTGAGGATAGTAGGGTCAGCAATTATTACTGATTGTTTTCCTTACGGGGCTTACCGTGTTTTTCGTGATCCGCACGCAGAAAAAGGTTGTGTAGTACTATTTGGAAGTGATACCAAAAGTCAACCTAATCTAAACGACATCATACAATATTAAGTTTTACTGTTCAAAAAACAGAGTGTACAGGTAATGTTTCAAGTCAGCTGAAGGTCTTCTGTGCTTGTGGGCAGGTACATAGCTGAATTTGCTGCGCTACAACGAACTAGCCCAAACTCAAGTCCAAGCTTTATTAATCTTCATTGTGGGCAGGGCCCGGTATCTAGCAGAAATGACCATGACTAATAAGAACAAAATAAAATGAGAAAGTAAAAAATGTAAAAATAGCCAAGAGTGTCACAAAAACAATGCAATCAAATAGTTTTGCGCGGCGCAACACGTCCTGTTTTGACGAAATAATGCAGATGAACAATGTAAATTTAAATACTTTATTTTAAATTTTTTTCAATGCTCTTATCCAGTCCAAAGTAAAAAAAAGTCTTTCTGGCGCTTTATTATCACAATGGGGGACATAGAATTACCTGAACCGCTTTCCATAATTTAAAATATTTTTGTAATAAACAAACGCTCTTTTTGTCTTAAGATGTTTTTCTTTCCGTGTAGGTAATCAAAGAAATTACTTCCGTGGCGTTTTTCAGCAATATATGCCAGAACAAATTCTCAAGCAAAAGTATCTGCAAAACATTGTTTGCGTGTGTCCAGATAATGCATCTTTATTCAGTTGGCAAAATTACGAGCTATTTATCCAGTATGATATCTCATTTCTACATACTGTTGTTTTAGCATACACCATAAACAGTTAAACTGTACTGAAGGATAGGCTCTCCCAGTACATTACACACCTTTACCCGTAATACACTTCAGCCATGAAGTACAAACGTTACAAAGATGCAGACACACTGCGATATGTTTTGCAACAAACTCCGAGGGAACGCTCGAAGTTCAAAGTGTTCAGTGAAACGGATGCCCCAATATTTTCTTGCAAGAGCATATTCAAGGGGTTACAGTTATATGATTTTCACATTGTGTGATAAAGTAATATTCAGATAGTTTAACATGTTTATTAGGATTACAGAAGCACGGTAATCAAAATTTAGCCACATTGACCAAAATATTGTTTCTCCCAAACCAAGATAACATTGTGCAAGCATCGGCATCGGCCTGAACGAAAGGTGCAAATATGGACAGGTCATTACTAGGAGACACAAGGATACTGTCATCTGCGTACAAAAAAACAACCACAACAAAAAAACACACACACACACACACACACGACGAAAGAACTGAGAATTTGACACTTTCGACGTTAATGTTAAAAAGGAGGGGCCCCAAAATAGACCATTACGGGACGGCTGATTCTTCATCCATGTAATTTTTCACTTCCACATGTTTACCAAGTAAAATCGATCAAACAGATAACTCGAAAAGAAATAAAAAAATTGACCTCAGGAAGCCACGAATTCGAGTTTATTTTCAAAGCGTGGTTATACCATGCTTTGTTGAATTTTAAGTTTTTTCTTAGATTGTTCATTTTGCTATATGTTGAAGCTATTATTACAGATTCAGATGTTCACAGAAAAATGAAAGCCGCTTACAATTCCATGTAACGCCGGTTAGAGCGCAGCTTTCGAAGAGGAGGATGGAAGCGTACTGAGGGATAGGGGACACCTTAGGTCACGTGACCTCAGAGGCGGGGATCACGTGACCTTGGGAGGTCTCGTGACATAGGGGGGGGGGGAGGGGGTCACGTGTCCTCAGGCGGGTCACGTGGCCTCAGAGGTTACGTGACCTCAAGAAAACACGTGACCCCCTCAGGTCACGTGACCCCCCTCCCAAGGTCACCTGACCTTCGGGGGGGGGGGGGCAAGTGACCTCGCGTTTACGCCGACGGCGACGGCGACGCCGACGCCGATGCTAACGCCGCTCAAGCCGGAAACGGGCCTTTAAGAGCTGCGCTCTAAAATATTTATAGCCCGTTGTGGCCGACAACGTGGGCTATAGAAGAAAAAGTTAAATCAAGTACTAATTTCAAGAAGAGGTACTTTGTTTCCCTTCTCCAGGAATGTTTTTCGTCATTCTTGCCCAGCTCGCTTGCACCTTTGCAGTAGTTAAATTATAATTATACAATAAACAGCTTATTTAAATGCGTTTCACGATCTCAGAAACAATATTTTACTTATTTGACTTTGCCTACAAAAACAAAAACTAGAAAATAGCTTTCGTTCATAGTTGCCCATCGGTGTCTGCATGTTTCATGGGATAGGGCTTAGGTGATAGCATACTCCCGCCAATCAAATTCAATCCAATATTAACCTGATATGCAATGAAGTTTGACCCACGCAATTATGGGCTATGTTACACTTTTTGTAGAGCGGCGTGCCTAACAATATACGGTTAATTTACGCTCGATGTACGATCGTCCTTCCTATATCCTTAATAATATGACTTTTGAGCGGGTTCACACAAATATCTGGGCGTTCACATCACATCTAACCTCACATGGGAATCGCATGTTCACCACGTCATTTCCAATGCCAATTGCATGCTTGGCTATCTAAAACGTATTTTTTTAGAGACTCCTTTGACTTTGAAATTATTTTTTTATAAAACACTAGTCCGGTCAAAACTTGAGTACGCTTATTCTTTTTGGGATCCTAACCCTGAGAGCCTCGTCGGCGCCTTGAAAGCTGTCCAGAATATATCTGTGCGTTTCATTCTTTCTAATTACCATCGTACATCGAACGTAACCTCTATAAAAATGCCTAACCTTGCCAACTCTTTCTTTACGCCGAAATTTTTATCGATAAGGTTTATTAACAAAAAAAATATTTGTTCACACCTTAATCCTTAAGACAGAACTCTTACTGGAGCCATCCTACATATCGTCACGCAATGATCACATACATAAAGTCGAAATTCCGCAGTGCCATACTAATTCCTTCTGCAGATCTTTCATACCTCGTACGTCTGCTGACTGGAATCACCTTTCCGCATTCATCGCCACAATTGTTGATCCTGTTGATTTTAAAAATGCTCTGTTGATACTACTAGAACTTGATTCATGATTTGAGTGTTAAATTAATCTGTACGTTTCAATTTACGCTCGATGTGCGAGCCTCCTGCCTATATGCTTAATCACATGACTTTTGAGCGGCTTGACACTTACATATATCTGGGTGTTCGCATCACATCTAACTTCACATGGGAATCGCATGTGAAGTTGGAAACTGGCCTTTTTGACTTCGAAACTGGTCTTTGACTTCGACCCTCTGGCGGTCAGCATCAGCAACGGCGACGGAATCGTCGCGGACTAATTCGCAGCCGTCTCCAACAAACTCGCAGTCGACACAAGACGCAGCCGCGAAATAGTACGCGGAGAAACCCGCCGAGTCCGTCGGAGTCCTGCCATTACGACATTCACGTTTTGGTCTCGTCCATCGTGTAAAATCCATCGGGAACCAAAACAACATTACGTTTGAAATCGCATAGGTGTTGGAAGCTACGCCAGCGTTTTCCTTGACAGACAACGCATGCAATTTTGTCCCACGATTTTGTCAGGTCAATTCATTCTTCATCCGAAATTCCGGTATTTATCTTTTTCCTAAAACAGCAGTGTCTACAATTCTCTGCGATGACGGTAATTTTCCAATTTTTAACCCTGAGAATTACCAGGCAATTTTTATCCTTCAAAGCAAATGTACAAAGTAGGAAAAAGAAACAAAAAATATACTTCTTATTTTGCGCTATCACATGTACGTCATGTTCATTTTTGCTTACGATATAGTCTCATAACTTACGCGCTTACTTGTTCAGTGTACCTTCGAAGAGCAACACACCTCGTAATGAAGAAAACCACCGTATATCAATTGTATTTCACAGGACATTTGTTGGATTACGGCATAAAAGATACCATCTTCATCAAACTTCGATACACCAGTCTGAAAGTACTGGCAGTACTTTCCAGAGAGGAAAGCAAGGAAGGGCGAAGGGGGCAAAAGCGAGAGCAGAGTGAGAGAGGGCAAGCGTGTGTGAGAATGGCCGCGTCTAGAATAGAGAGCTTTCCCATGTCCGATACCTATTATATGGTGTACAGACATCATGATCTGCGTGACAAGGCTGCATAAAGCGGGTAGCCGACGTCAGAATTCTGCAAGCGTTTTCTGATTGCCACATGCAAAAGGTTCACATTTCTATACTATTTGTTATATTTTCAAGATCTCTAGGAATCCTTAAACAAAGCTTGTGTGTACCAAGTAATCAAGGCGAATTTTATTTTAAATATGGTCTACCTTTTGTTTTTCGTGTTCTAACACCTTTGAAACGAGAAAAGGTACACGTCTTTTTAACAAAAAGTCAAGATATATCTACATAAATTCACAATAAAGTTTACTCACTTTGAGTAGCTTCGTGCTGCTTGCGACGGCCGCATTATTGTTTAGGTTCCGAATGTTCAGCATCCCGAAGTGTCTAATGTTCTTGTTCCAAGCATTGCCGCAGGCTTCTTGGACATCTTTAGAGTTAAGTCCTTCGCCAGCTCTAAAAATAGAAAAAGAAACATTCATTCATGTATTTTATGGCTAGCCCTTCGATCGATTAACCTTCCGATTAATCGAATATTACTTGATACGCCGTTAATTTTGTTAACCGATAAAAAGGTTTGGTTCTGATTAAAATATTAGAGAAGAAATAAAATGTCTGTTCTGCGCTACGTTGAGTCACATTTATTCATTCCTTTAGGCTACGCGGCTTTATGTTATAATATTTTAAGTTAGAAATCTCTACATTTTTGATCGAGGTGAATACAAAGTTTAAATAATACTGTACCAATAATTGTTTTTAAAATGGTTTGCAAAAGATTTTTTTGTACCTGAAACTTCAAGTCTCAAATAAGGATATACATTCCGCGGAGATTACTATTAAAAAAATAGTCAAGCAAAAATATTATTTTGGTATGTGCAGTTTTTACACCGTTCTATAGGAATGAAAGTAAACGACAACAAACAAACGATTACTTGGCCGAATAAAATGTAAATGATAATTGTTAGAAAAATATGAGCAAGGCTCAGGCACAGTTTATATGTATCAAAATACATTGGACCCTCTTTAGGATTATTAGGAAGAAAACAAAAAAAACATAGATAAAACAATCGGTGGATTCAGCGAGATTGGCGCTAAAAAGGAAACACACGTGCAATGTCCATACCCATGTACTTTTTTTTTCAAGGCTACCCAGGTAGCACGCCAGAGGAATGCCCAACTTGGGCAAAGCTCTGGCAAACATAAGGACCCAACTTTGGCGCAGTTAGGTTTTTGCACCATGGCATTCATCAGTGCCAAAGTACGCTGCCTAACTATAGCCTTAGTTGGGCGATCCTATGGCATGCCAAAGTTTGGCTCTTCTCCGGTACGCCAGAGGAGTGCCAAAGTTGGTGCCATACTTGAGCCATAACTGCCATAGTAAATCCTAATCTGGGAATTCGGGGCATGCCAAGGTTTGGCATTTCTCTGGTCTGCCAGAGGAGTGCCAAAGTTGGTGCCATACTTCAGCCATAACTGCCAGAGCAACGCCTAATTTCGGTATTTGGGACGTGCCAAGGTTTGGCGTTTCTCTGGTCCGCCAGAGGAGCGCCAAAGTTGGTGCCATACTTCAGCCATAGCTGCCAGAGCAACGCCTAATTTCGGTATTTGGGACGTGCCAAAGTTTGGCTTTTCTCGGGTCCGCCACAGGATTGCCGAGGTAGTGCAATACTAGAGCTATAACGGCCACAGTAGTGCCCAATTTGGGTATTTTGGACATGCCAAAGTTTGGCGTTGCTCTGGTCCGCCAGAGGAGCGCTAAAGTTGGTGCCAGATTTGAGCCGTAACTGCCAAAATAAAACCTAAACTGGGAATTCGGGGCATGCCAAGGTTTGGCGTTTTTCTGGTCCGCCAGAGGAGCGCCAAAGTTGGTGCCATACTTCAGCCATAACTGCCAGAGCAACGCCTAATTTCGGTATTTGGGACGTGCTAAGGTTTGGCGTTTCTCTGGTCCGCCAGAGGAGCGCCAAAGTTGATGCAATAATTAAGCCATAACTGCCAGAGCAACGCCTAATTTGGGTATTTCGGACACGCCAAAATTTGGCGTTTCTCTGATACGCCACAGGAGTGCCGAAGTGTGCCATACTTGAGCCATAACTACCAAAGCAACGCCTAATTTCGGTATTTCAGCCTCGCCGAGTTTGGCTTTTCTCTGGTCCGCCACAGTTGTGCCAAAGTAAGTGCCAAACTTGAGCCATAACTGCCGCAGTAAGTCTTAATTTGTCGATTCGGGGCATGCCGAAGTTTGGCTCTTTTCTGGCTACCCACTGAAGTGCCAAATAAGTGCCAAAAGTGGCAAAGAAAGCCGAGAGGCCAGCCCAAGTTTCGAATATCTCTGGTGTGTCACAGCAGTGCTCTTTTACGCGTCCCAGAAGAGAAATAAAATAAATAAGCGTTGGAAGCACGATAGTAAGATGACATCACCTCCGTTCCTAAGCAGCACGGCAATACTTTGCAGTATCGTGCCAGTGCCGGCCGAAAGTCGGTTCCATATCGCTCAACTGTCCAGTTTTGCACCACCGTTTGATACCCGGCATGTATTGCCGTACAGCTGTTTCGCCCCGGCCTAGCGTTCGCGTAATATTGTGCGAAAACTCTACGATGCGTCTGCTTCGTATTGGCCGAACGTCATGCAAGTATGCGTACGTTGCATGTCATTTGTTGCATATCCAATCACTTATACGGACAAACAAATTTTTTCGATCGCTTCCAGAAGTTTATTAAACAACTATCATTACACACAGTGTATTCTCAACATATTTACAAAGGTCACACTTCTCTGTAAAACGAAAAGCAAATTATAAAATACAATGAACACTGTCCTCATGCCAAGCAAAACTCATCACACGTAAAACCGCGGAGAATGAAAGGAAAGCAGGACGACTATCAGAATCATGCTTGCAGTGCACTTACTAATAAAAGAGCGATATCATGTAATCCTTGATAGATGCATAATCCAACTCAGGCACCCCACAAACACATTCGAGGAAGAAGGTTGCGCACATTCAACTGACGTCTCGTCGTCGGCGAAGAGCAGTTTTTGTCGAAGCGTGTCCAACAAACACATCACAGGTATTCCACGAACTCCGGTGCAAAAAATGACTGTTACCGAAAAATTGGCATGGACGTATTCCGAACGTTTACGACGAAAAAACACGGCCGCGTCTGCAACGCACGAAAGCAACAGAACACTGAAGAGCCCAGTTCGAGAACCGGACCTACGTGGCCTGCTTATTCCTATAACTAGGCAAACGGCGAAAACGACAGTACCAGAGATCCCATCAGCCCAGCGTGACAGAAAAAGTCACGTGACAAATTTTCGTCCAAACGTTTTTGTCCTACGCGTCCTATGTAGAGAGGTCACGCTGAGTCACGCGTTTCGCTTCATCCTTTTGATTTGCTTAAAGCGGCTGTCGCGCTCGCTGACAGTCACACGAAGACGCAAAAACAGGTGGGGAGGATTTGCAAAAGGCGAGGTCGATGGGTCATCAACAACGCATAAAAGGAAAGGCCGCTTCTGCCGGTGACCTTGTCGCCTTGCCTAGTCTGTCAGCGTTCGGCTTCCATTAAAGAGGTCATGAAACGCTTTTCCAACTTTTTCCTGTTTCGCTTTCCTCCTCAACTCATAAATCGCGCATTCCACCAAACAGTTAAAGAAGGCGAAAAGGGGGAGTCCCCTCTTGCTCGCACTCTTGTTTGTGTAATCCCGGACACATCCATTCTCCCCCTAGAAGATTAGCCCGTCGCTCAAAATTCAGACAAAAGTTGCCTTCCCCTCCCTGTTCATTCCGAAGCTGATAGTGCTGTTGAAGCTACGTACTCGTTGGGCCAGCCACACTTGCCACGTGAGCGTGGCAAATGTGGCTGCAGAGAATGAAGTCAGGTGATGAAAGGGAGGCGGCTGATTGGTCCGGCAAGCGCGTAGCTTCCACCACAATGTCAGCTTAGGGGTGAATTGAATAAGTGAGGTCCGGTTGCGTGTGACGTGAGTTTAGACCCGACAACGCGCTTTTGGGACCGCGGTTGTATCACAGTGAAAAGGTAGAGAGGTTGCGAAGGGGAGAAGGTACGAAATAGTCGCGCTGTTTTCGAATTTTCGCACTGAAAGTCAGGCTTTTGACTTTCTACCTTTTTCTTTTGGTCCACTGAACGATGTGCTATTAGTAAAATCCCAATCTAAAATGATTTATCCCAACCCAAAAATCGTTTCATGGGCCCTTTAAGGGCCTCAGAAAGATAATCTCCTTTCTTGAGAGCGAAATGGACGGGGTGGTTATGTTTTCCGGGCTTGTCGCCATCCGATAGGCCTCAATTATTTCTCTCCCCATTTGCTCGCAGTGGCCTCCCATGGCTGTCGTGCCGGTGAAATTAGGAGCGCAAAAATACTCCACAAGCCGGGCGAAGACGTGATAAATGTAATAACAAAAACGGCTTGACATAAAAAAAAAAAACAATTTAATTAAACGTTTCGCCTCCCGTGCGGGAGGCATCTTCAGTAGAGCGCAGAGCGAGTGAGAGTCGCACAAAAAAGTTCGGTTATTTAGGCATAAAGTTTGTGTACACGTCCGGCAGGGGGCCACGGTTCTTGTTTACCAGCGATGAATCACTTCCGCGTTTGTCGTTTTGGATGAACCAATATTCCAGCAGCTTCCTCGGTTCCCACCTTTTATCGCCCTCCAAGGTCGATGCCTTGTCAATGTCAAATTGGTGTCCTGACGTCCATGCGTGGTCGACGAGTTCGGACATGAAGCGGGTGGCGGTCCCGTGCGTGTTCTTTTAGTCTTGTTTTTCTTTTTCGTCCCGTCGCTCCAATGTAGGAAGCGTCACATTCCTTGCACTGTACCTGGTAAACCACGACCCTTTCTGCCTCTGGCGGGGTCGGATCTTTTGGCTTGGAGATAACATTGGCGATTGTTCTGTAGGGTTTGTATACAGTTCGTACCCCCAACGGCCTAAGGCCGCGTCCCAATGCCTCCGAAACCCTTAACGTAACGTGTTCGTTCGGCTCGATCCAGGCGCCGATGGGACATTTGTTTGTTGGTCAACAAGAACGCATGGCTCTTTATGAGTTGAAGTCAGACAGCTCCATCATGATTTTAAAGGCCGACAAAGGAAAAAGAACCGGTGTGCTTGATAGGGATGACTACATGAAGATGATGTATGAAGTTATAAACGACAGTCACTATTTCGTGAGGCTATCAGGAGATCCCGCTGCTAAGTCCGAAAGAGAGTTAGTTGACCACCTTCGAGAGCTGAAAAAGAAAGGACGCATCAGTGACGACCTATACCGTCGTCTCTTCTCCTTTGACGCCGCGACACCCAAGATGTATGGACTCCCCAAAATTCACAAACCGGGTTGCCCCCTACGCCCGAGTGTATCTTTTATTAGTTCATCCACTTACAGCCTTTCCAAATATCTGGTTATGATTCTGAGCCCTCTTACAAGAAAAAATGAGTTTAGCGTCCGGAATTCCCATGACTTTGTTGAACTTATACGCGCTCAGACCCTACTACCGCACGAGGCTATGGTATTCTTTGATGTGATTTCATTATTTACGAATGTCCCTAACGCCCTGGCGGTTGATGTCGCCCGTGACCGGTTGTTGGCAGACCAGTCGTTGTCCACTCGTGTCAGAAAACGATGTTTATTGATTCGATTAGTGAGCGGATTACATGATGCTACACTGGCTACGCCATTGCTGGATCTCTGCGTCTGTGGCTTTAGCTCGGCTTGGCTTTCTCGACAGTCCAGTGTCTTTTGCTTGGCTTGGCTTCCTTGACATCCCCCTTTTTTTCTTTAGAGATCAAGCCTGACGACGGGTTTGATTATGCGACCTGATTTGGTAACGGTGGTTGAGTCTGCCGGGTTCTCTCGCTGGGGGCTGGGGCATACTCGGCTGTCGGTCACAGGCTGTGGCACATGTGGCTCGATGCTGGTAGTATGAGTTTTTGCAGCGTGGTGTAGCTCAGCCTTAGTCGGACGAACAAAGGACGTATTGCGACGGTACTGTCCCTTTGGCGTCTGTACTATCACAGACCGAGGTTCTTCCGAAAGACGTACGACTGTTCCAGGAACCCATCTCCTGTTTTCTTCCCAAACTTTGACTTTATCGCCTTGGGCCATGGCAGGGGCTCGTTTGGAGTGCTGGTCAGCGTAAGCCTTCTGCTGGTTGCGCTCGTGACGCAGCTTGTCCGGCACGCTTTGGATTATTTCGGGCTTAATAGCTGCTTGTGTGTGGGAACTGGAGTTCTTGTCCTCCTGCTGTACAGTCTTTGTGCAGGTGAACCCTGTTCTTCACTCCTTGGCGTGTTTCTGAAACTGAGGAGGGCCATTTGTATGTCGCTTCCATCCAGAGAGCATTTTCGGAGAATCCCTTTTCCAGTCTGAACGGCTCGCTCGGCAAGACCGTTTGACTGCGCATACCTCGGACTTGAAGTCACGTGCTGGAAGCCCCAGTCTCTGCTAAAGTTCTTGAATTCTTGTGCTGCGTAGCAGGGACCGTTGTCTGTTTCAATCACTTTGGGGACGCCTTGAGTTGCTAGCCACTCTTTCATGACGTTTACAACTTCTTTTGACGATTCTCCTGAGAGCTTCTTGAAGTCTAGGTATCCAGAGTAGCTGTCGACAATGACAACGTAGGACTTTCCTTCGAAGTTGAAGAGATCTGATGCTACTCTTTCCCACGGGAGGTCTGGTATTTCTTTGAGATGAAGTGGCTGTCTCGCTGGTTTCTTGTCAGTTGCTTGGCATGTGGCACATCTTTCCACGTAGCATTTGATGTCTGTCGTTAGCCCTGGCCAGTATACAGTCTCGCGGGCTCTCTTTAGACAACTGTTTATGCCTAGATGTCCCACGTGGATCTGGACGAGCAGTCTGTTTCTCCAAGTTTTCGGAATGACTATCCGATCGCTTCTGAACAACATGTCTTCATACACAGCGAGTTCATCCCTAAATGACCAATACAGCTTCATTGGGTCACTGAGCCCTCTTGTGGTGCTTGGCCATCCTTCTTTCGTGGCTTGGATCACTTCTTGGATTTCTTTGTCTTGGGCAATGTCCCTCTTTAGTTCTTCCATTGTTTCAGGTGACATGGGTACAATTGCCATCACTTGTATGTCATCTGTATATGCACCTGCCGACTCGTTCTTGATGCAGTCTCTGCTCAGTAGATCTGCGATCACGAGTTCTGTTCCTTTCTTGTAGACGACTGTTGGTGCGTACTGCTGTACGTCAAAGAGAAGTCTTTGTAGTCGAGGAGGGGCTTTGCTCAGCGGCTTCTTTGCGATGCTCTCGATCGGCTTGTGGTCTGTCTCGGTGGTTAGAGGTCTTCCATAGATATATTGGTGAAATTTCCGGCAGCCGTATCGGATCGCTAGTGCCTCCTTCTCGATCTGAGGGTAGTTCTGTTGTGCTTCCGTCATTGCTGCTGAGGCGTAGGCAACAGGCTTTCCTTCTTGTAGGAGAACAGCTCCTAGGGCTTTTGAGCTTGCGTCCACTGAAAGGGTCATAGCACCATTAACGTTGTAGTATGCGAGTGTTGGTGCACTCTTCAGCGCTTGCTTGATTTCGGTCAGTGCCTTGCTCTGTTCCTCTGTCCACAGGTACTCAGTGTCCTTGGTAATGAGCTTTCTCAGTGGTGCAGTCTTGTCCGCAAGGTTGGGCACGAACTTCTGGAGATACTGGATCATCCCTAGCAGTCTCTGTAGCTCGGTCTTGTTCTTTGGTTCATTTAACTGGTCGATGGCGGCTACCTTTTCTTGGTCGATCTTGAGTCCTTCTGCAGTGATTTCGTGACCAAGAAACTTGACTGCAGGCTTGTCAAAGACACACTTGTCTTTGTTGAGTTTAGTGCCAGCTTCTTTCAGAGCATCCATGACCTTCTTTGTAGTTTCTTGCAGCTGTTCGCTTGTTTCGGCATACACCAGGATGTCGTCCATGGAGTTGACGGCGTTCGGAATCCCTTCTAGGATTCTGCTGATGACTTGTTGAAAAACTTCCGGTGCTGTGGCTATGCCAAATGGAACTCTCTTAAAGCAGTACCTGCCCCACGGAGTGCTGAAGGCTAGATACTTTTTGGTGCGCTCGGACACTTGCATTTGCCAAAATCCTTTCTTGAGGTCTAGCAGAGTGAACCGCTTGGATCCTCTGACATGCGCAACAATTTCTTCCAAAGTCTTGAGAGGATAGTTTCGTCTTATAAGAACTTTGTTCAGTTCCACTGGATCGATGCAGATCCTGATCTTTCCTCGCTGCTTCACAACAACCATTTCACTGCAGAATGGAGTTGGTTCTGTGATTTTTTCGACGATTCCTTTCTGTTCCATGCTCGTGAGCTCTTGCTTGACTTCATCCATAAGTGCATATGGGACCCTTCTTGGTGGCTTGTTTTCCAGCTTCTTGCTTGCTCCCTCTTTGACATCGGCATCATAGACAAAGTTCTTGATGCAACCGATGCCTTGAAATATTTCGTCATCTTCTTGCGTTGCTTGGACTGTGTGCACTCTCTTCACGAGGTTGAGGAGCTCGCATGCGTTCTGACCCAGAACTGGTGTCACGTCAGAGTTCACGACGAGGAATTTCAGTTTCGCTGGCTGATCACGGACAGTGCATGCTTCTCTCACCTCACCGATCACTTGCATCTTGTGATTGCTGTATGTTGCGATTCTTTTGACTGGCGAAGGAAACACTTGTAGTCTCATGGCTTGGACGTTCTTGCTTGGGAGGACGTTGCATTGCGCTCCTGTGTCCAGTTTCATGACAACTTTAGTTCCACACTTGAACTGGATCTCTTCTTGCCACACCGTCTTGCTTGTCTTGGTTCTCAGCTCCGACACATACATTTCTTCTTCAGGGTCTTCGTGGTTGTCGATGGCATGGACCTTGTGTTGCACCATACTTCTGCTTGATCGGCACATTGCAGCAAAGTGTCCTTTCTTTTGGCACTTGTTACAGGTCTTGCCATACGCTGGACATTCTTTTGGTCTGTGAAATCCTCCACAGAAGCTGCATGCTTTTCTTGCCATTCCCGAATTCGCTGGCGCTTGCTCTTTTGTCTCCGCGACAGTCTTCTTTCTCGGTAGCTGCTTTGTCTTCTTCGTGACGGCGTCGACGGTCCTCGTTTCTTTGTTTACGATTTCTTTGAGCTACTGTGACGCCTGTTCGCTCGCTTTGCAGAGATTCACGGCTTTCTGCAGGTCGACAGTCGGGTCGCTTAGCAGTCTTTCTCTGACATCGTCATTGGTGATGCCAACGATAATGCGATCGCGTAGTAGTTCATCAGTCAGCTCGCCGAACTTGCATTTCTTTGCTTGTAGTCTTGCGGCCGTCAGAAACTCGGTGAAAGTCTCGCCCTCTTTCTGCTTCATTTGATTGAACCTGTACCGTTCGTAGGTGGGGTTGACCTTCGGGTGGAAGTGCTCTTTGAACCGTTGCTTTACGATGTCCAGGTTTTTCTTGTCGTCTTCGCTCAGTGGGAGCGTTCGGAACACGTTCTGTGCGTCTGGGCCGATGACAGTCATGAAGTTCGCTACTTGAACTTCGGGAGGTTTCTTCTGTAACTGGATCGCTGTTGCGTACCATTCGTGGCTCTGAAGCCAGTCGTCCCAAACGTCAGGCGACTGCGACGACAGATCAAGAGGCCTCGGCGTCTTTAGACCACCTTCCATAGTTTCGGAATCGGCGCTCACGTGCGTCGGCTTGTTTGTATTGTTTTAACGGCGTCTTCTTCGCTCCGTCGCTCGAATCAGTGGCTGTATCGTTTCTGCTGAGGTTCTTCTTTCTTCTTCTTGGTAGATCCCGCTTCTGTCACCATGTCAGAAAACGATGTTTATTGATTCGATTAGTGAGCGGATTACATGATGCTACACTGGCTACGCCATTGCTGGATCTCTGCGTCTGTGGCTTTAGCTCGGCTTGGCTTTCTCGACAGTCCAGTGTCTTTTGCTTGGCTTGGCTTCCTTGACAACTCGCACAACCCTCCTTGTTGAAGACGTTGTACTCCTTTTGCGTTTTTGTCTCAACCAATGTAATCTTAGTTTTAATGGGGACATATATCATCAGGTCAGCGGATGCCCTATGGGGAGTTCAGTTTCCGTAACCGTCTCGAATCTCGTCATGGAATATGTTGAGGAAAGGTAATGTCTGGCATTGATTTCCCCGTGAAGTTCTACCGTTGTTATGTCGATGACACTTTTGTAATGGTTAACAGAGAGAACGTAACTGATTTTCACCGCAATTTGAATAGTGTCCACCCCTCAATTCAGTTCACCTGCGAACATGAAACCGATAGTACCTTGCCGTGTTTAGATGTACGTGTCCATAGAACTAGTGAACCTTTTTTTAAGATGGAGACATCCGTATATCGCAAACCATGTGACAGACAAAACTTTCTTGACTACCACTCTCATCACCCTACTCAACACAAAAGCTCAGTTGTAAGATCGTTACTTCATCGTTCAGAAACTGTCCCATCTAAGTCAACACTTAGCATTCAAGAACTTAGCCATGTGCGGGAGGCTTTGAAAAAACGTAACTACCCCGACTGGTTTGTCAATCGCGTTAAGAAACAAATGTCCCGTCGGCGCCCGGATCGAGCCGAACGAACACGTGACGTCGTGTGCATCCCGGAGGCATTGGGACGCGCCCTTAGGCCGTTGGGGGTACGAAAGAACAATTGTCAATGTTATCTCCATGCCAAAAGACCCGACCCCGCCAGAGGCAGAAGGGGGCGTGATCTACCAGGTGCAATGCAAGGAATGTGACGCTTCCTACATTGGAGAGACGGGACGAAAAAGAATAACAAGTCTAAAAGAACACGCACGGGATGTCGCCAATTCCACGAACGCCACCCGCTTCAAGTCCGAACTCGTCGACCACGCATGGACGTGAGGACACCAATTTGACTTTGGCAAGGCATCAACCTTGGCGAGAGATATAAGGTGGGGACCGAGGAAGCTGCTGGAATCTTGGTTCATCCAGAATGACAAATGCGGAAGTGATTCATCGCTGGTAAACAAGAACCGTGGCCCCCTGCCGGACGTGTACACAAACTTTATGCCTAAATAGCCTAACTTTTTTGTGCGACCCTCACTCGCTCTGTGCTCTACTGAAGATGCCTCCCGCATCGGAGGCGCAACGTTTAATTAAATTGTTATTTTTGTTATGGCAAGCCTTTTTTGTTATTACATAAATTAGGAGCGCAAACGGGACATTTTCTCCCGTGAATGACGATCGGGTGTTTGGACTCCGAAGCAGCTCTTTCGGCGTCCATTTGATGTTCTCGGAGTCGGTCGTTGAGCCATCGCCCCGTTTGCCCGATGTACCTGGTCCCGCAGGACAGGGGGATCGCGTACACTTCCTTCGCTTCCTCTCCTTCCGCCAAGATTTCTCTTTCCGGTACTCCCACGGAGCGGGCGGGTTTCGAGGTTGAAGCCGAAAATAAAGTTCGCTCTTTCCACTTTTTTTTGCGTTTCCTCCTCTCCTGCCCTCCTTTCCTCCCTTCACCGCCTTCCCCCGAGGGGCCAACACTGAGAATGGATTAGGAGACGCCTCCGTTAATCCGGCATAACCCGCCGTAGAGGGGGCGTGCTGCTTGACTAAAGATTATCTCGCTGCACAAAAAAAATAAAAAATAAAATAAATAAATAAAAAATAAATAAAAAAGAAAAAACGTCGCGGGCAGCGATTTAATGCGCTTTGCCGGATGGGTAATGCTTCGTCCGCCTTGAATAAGCTGGTATGCATTGGACTAACATTTTTCGAAGCGCGGCAGGTTTAGTGTAGGTACTATCATAATGGTCCTGCAAGGCTTCCCTGTCCGCCACAAGCTAGCCAATAATTCAAGGACATAACGACGGCAGCGTATTCAAACAGTGTAAAATAAAATGTATATAATATTTATAAGAACACCATCGTCTTCACTGCTTGGCTTTCAAATTTTTAGGGCCGCAAATAATCGTAATCAAAATATTTTTATAATTGAAGACCCCTCGTCGTGCATCGAACCCAAAATTACGTTTACGTGAAACATGATTCGGCGCGGGAGCAACTCGAGTCACCGTAATTTTTTTTTTTTTTTAACGTGGATTTTGCTTTTTAATCTAACTGAGGTACCACTGGCAGAACACGAATCGCATACTTGGAAGGATCTGAAAACTCATATAGCTGGCTGAGTGAATGCAATACTATCGCATTCGTTGAAGCTCGATTTGTTGATTCGAACTTCAACAAATCACACGCACCCATTCTCCCTATTTCTGTTTACCCAGTCATAGTCGTTCCCTCACGATGCAATACGAGTACAAGTAACGGAAGTTTATGCAATGTTGACGATACACAGCCGTGATCGTACGGTTTTTAGAAGCGCTATAGAACGAGCACAAGCGTCGAATTTCGGTACTCTGATTGATTTCTGTCTTCCCGCCGTGACACCACACGAGAAAAGCGATTTCGTTCTGTCTGTGAAACTAGGAACAAAGAAATCAAGATATAATCCCGTAATAAAACAACGCGAAATGGATCTCTGCAGCCAATACCCAACCGTTCGCGAGGTGACTGGGCAAAAGCATATATTACGGTGCCTTTACCCTGTGCGCACCGCCAGAGAGAGTCATATAAACTCCTTTGCGCTATTATCAACACGATTGCGTTTGCAAGCCGGTAGTTTGACTCGGCTGGGATTCGTCCCTTCTGACTTTCATAGCTCTCTATGAAACCAGAAAGGTAGATGCTTTTCTCCATTGGGTTGGTTTGCCCGGGGCCTCCAGTTATTTACGGCCAAAATCACACTAGAGGCGCTTCAGCAATGTTCACTCTGGTCGACACACGTGCTCCTTAAAAAAGCCTGTCGTCAACTCTTTCCCAAAAGATACTCGAAGAGCCAATCTTAGAGACAGACGGATAACGAGGCCTTAGACCTCAAAGAAATTATAACACAAATTTGGCGTCGTCATTCCCAAACTGGTTGCCGGACGAAATCCAGGGTTGGTAATAGTAACATAAGATACGTACGGCAGAATTCCCTGCCATAAATAAAATGATTTGGCTAACGCCAATGTAAGGCGAAATAGGTGCAAAGAGTTTTGCGATAGGAAGCGTAAACCGAAAAAAAGGGGAAAAAAAGAAAGAAAGAAAGAAAGACTGAAGAAAAGGAGAAATTAGAAAAAAAATCTCTGGTGACTTGGCCAAAAAAAATTCGGTTCATGTGATTTTTCTTGCACGTGACAAAAAAAAAAAAATAACACGAGAAAAAAAAAATCCCCTGCCCGGTTTCGAAGCTAGGCCCTCTTGATCGTGAAACTAGCGCGCTATCCGTCGCGCCAACATAACTTTTTTTTTTCTTTCTTTATCGCAAGTTGCGCCAACATAACTCAGCCTGTAATGCTCACGCATTCCCACATCATAGGCGAAAGCTTAGGTGCCTTCGCAGTTTTTCATGCATGTGTTATTTTTATTTGTGGCAAGGGTTGACGTCCAGAATGCTTTTAGAGTTTTCGACCAAAACGAGTTTTCTTCATCCGGTTCACCTTCTAGAACCAGTAGACCGCACTGGGTCGTCCGGCTAATCAAGCAGCTATTTTAAATTCTCTGGCGTGCCCGTCCTCGGATCCGAGGTCGCCGATTGACAAGCTTAACTTTCTTCCACCTGGTAGCCGGAACCCCAACGGCCAGCTTTGTTCCGTCCCCACTCCCTCTCGAGAGGGTGGCTCGCCCCGAGGCTAATCCCATTCTCTAAACCTTTTTCCACCCAACGCTTGACCTTTCCCTCCCCGTCCCCCAGCTTCGGGAGAGAAGGTTCTTCTCTGCAGAACGTCCCGTTTGTACAGCGGCTTTAAAGGGCTACTCCACCGATTTTTTCATTGTCTCCGATTTGCTTGAAATTTGGCTAAACTAACCA